CTTGGGCTACTCTTTTTACCAACGAATAGTGGGATTGACCGTCACATTATAACGCTCTTGGTGTGACGAGGATTCGAACCCGCGACCCTCAGATTGCGAGTTGAGCGCCCTAACCACCTGGCCATGCCGGGCAACATTTCTATTTAAGAACATGTGAAACAGTATAAATCTAGATAAACTATGATACACTGTAGGATATCATTGTGGATATCATTACATAGAATGACTAACAATCTAATGTTAAGATTTCACAAAGACGAAGGTCTGTGGAAATCCGGAATCACTGACGACAAAGATCTTCAACCTCTCACACAGACCAGTAGTAGCATGGTTCGCGTCCCGTCACTGCCAATAACAAAAAAAATGCACTTTGGGGACGTTTATGCATTATAAGAGTGACGGCCAAAGCCTACTATTCATTGCTAAAAGAGTAGCCCAAAAGTTAGCGGTGGGTAGTTGTTGATTAGTTGCCTTCTCTCTAGTCTGACATTGCAAAATAACGGACGGCTATGCACAGGTAGCCCTAGTGTACCTTTGCGCGAAATTCAACAAAACAAATAAGAAAACTTGATCCTAGGCAATGTAATCAAATATGAGCTATCATACTGTAACATGATTGAACAAATTTTATAACCAGCATTGTCATATTTATAGAATATAGTATTGTAGGCTGAGATATAATGCTGAAAGAATAACCAGCCACAAGATAATATTGGTTGACAAGTCTTAATATAATCCTAGAGGATGTAGCCAGACACAACGTACACCTGGTTGACAAGTCTTAATGTACTCCTAGAGGATGTAGCCAGACACAACGTACAACTGGTTGACAAGTCTTAATGTAATCTTATAGGGGGCAGCCAGACACAATGTACAACTGGTTGACAAGTCTTAATGTAATCCTATAGGGTGCGGCCAGACACAACGTACAACTGGTTGACAAGTCTTAATGTAATCCTAGAGGATGTAGCCAGACACAACTGGTTGATAAGTCTTAATTTAATCCTAGAGGATGTAGCCAGACACAACGTACAACTGGATGACAAGTCTTAATGTAATCCTAGAGGATGTAGCCAGACACAACTGGTTGATAAGTCTTAATT